TTCTGTGAGTGGGGAAGTTAACCGTATGATTATGATCATGATAACAACAGTGATGCAGCTAGCAACCCTATTGCCATTATTTTTGCTTCTGCTTTTATGAATATTTGATATCTCTATCCTCAAATCGTACTTCCATTTTACCCGCGTTGTATCCTCTATTCAGTCGTCGTTCGTGTTACAAAAACCTTCTTGTGGCCAAAGACGAGGATTGTCTTTTTCTCGGCATTTTTGTACGTTATACTGAAGCTATATTTAATGCTCGTGCCGTTTGAAGATATGTAAGGGTCTGGATTTTGGTCATGGCGTGAATGGAATGATCCACGGATTTTTTTTTGTCTCATTCACGATATTATTCTTTTAAAAATGTTCGCTCTAAGGACATGAAATTTGTCATGCTTCGCTGATCACTACCTCCAGTGGATTACGGATCTTATATTGCGTTCAAGGCAGGTCCTGTAGGAGAAGCATGCTCCGACTGCAGAAATAAATTGCACGAAAAATGCTTCATCTCCCTTACTTGCTGAAACAAAGGATCGCGTTTCCTCTCTGATTAGTAACTGTCAAAATGGGATGTCGTTGGAGGGAGCGAGCACTGTCTGAACATTAATCCACGAAAAGGGCATTTATAGCTGCATAAAATTAAGGTAATCTGTATACTGAAATATTTGAATGCTGATTCTTTCAGGCAAAAATGTCGTTCATCATTGCCCTGACGAAGAGCATTCCAGTCCATGTAGACTACGAAGGTCAACGGCTTGCCGAGAGAATATTTCAGGTGATCATCACCGTCATGGCGGTGATTGGATTCGCTGCCGGCTACATTGTGCAGCGTTTCTCGTGGACCATTTATTCGGTGTTGTTCGGCTTTGTCTTGTCGTGCGCACTCATTCTGCCTCCTTGGCCGTATTTGCGAAGACATCCGCTTCAGTGGCTAAAATCTACCGAAGTCCCATCATCGGCAGAGAGTAAAAAGCGCAAAACGAAATGATAAGTGATCATTAACTGATGCGTGCCATTCAGTTATTAAGCTTTGTTTGGAAAGGACAATGGATTATTGTACAGTGGCTATCATCCTTTTTGGCTTTTGAGTTACTTTGTGTTGTACTCTTCCATTATTTGAGGACGCGCGATAGTAAAATTGTTTTCGTCATCGTCTTCTGAAGCTAACAAAGCTTAAGCCCAGTTGATTAACCCGATTTATAATATTTGACTCTCAGAAATGATACTTCAACGTTTATAGTTGCTTTGAGATTTTATGAAATTGGTTGTATTAAAATAATGCTATTGATTCGCATAGATATCACTGTTTTGCACACTAGCAAACGCCGCTATACTACATTAAAGCTTTCATTTTCATACGAGATATGTAAATTCTAAAATCTATTCATAAGCATTACTCAGCTAAACCGAGTTTCACCAATTTGGTACGGTAGATGATCAGTTTCTCGCAATCAGCAGATATATGCTACGTGGAAAATGGCAGCAGCATCGTTTAAAAGATTCAACAGGAACCTAGAATCAAGGTAGTTGCAGATCGTTCGCTGATTCTTGGCTGAGGGTAGCAAACAACATAGATATTAACAGTTTCTTGTCAAAATAAGCAGCAATATCAGAGCAAAACAGGACAAACTGCAAACGTGTTGTTCGGTGCCTTCAATTATGAATCCGTGAACAACTTCAAAAAGGTCTAAAAATCGGAACTAATTTGTCATGTTTATAATTAAGGTAGTGTTAATCGTTCTGTGCACCTCTGATAAGAATAGGGCGGTGTAATTTAATCTACATATATGAACTGTAATTTAGGCGAAGAGCTGGAGGGTAGGAAAAAAGTGGACGGGTAAACAAGGGAGCGGTTAAAATAAACCTTGCCAGCGGTGGAAACACGGCAGTTAATCAAGTACCTCTTGTAGGTTGCCCTGACAGCCTATTTACCTGCTAGTCCATACGTTTGAGAAGTGTCTCGACAAAAGAATCGTACTGTAATTCGCTTTATCTAGTCCGTACTATCGCCTTCGACGATATTCATTTCAGATTACTGTTATGCACCACGTTACTCTTACTAAGAGTAATGTTTCGCTTAGAGCTCAGTTTTAAGCGAATGGCGCAGTAGGTGTAAGCATAAGGCGCGCAAAGATGATGAGCTGGTCATAGAAAAACCTGCATATCGTTACCACGCGAATAGTATGGACAGGCCATAATTGGTCTAACAAGTATCAGCTGAATAGTACAAATCGATCATGGCAGCTCCACACTATTGGACTTGCATTATTTAGAGGAGTGGCAATCCAGGAACAGTACAAAGGGCCAATCTAGCTTTGCGGAGATACTGCAAATGTCGGATTATGTTCAAGGCACGGCAGACAAAACTGGTTGTACAATGTTGTTGAATAAACCTACCTTGACGGTGGCAGGTTGCCACCTGCACATGAATGCAAGTCGCTGACGGACTGGAGTCGTATTCGTTTTAGCATTTTAGCCGCTAGTTGGAAAAAAGTATAGACCAGAATATCAATAAA